CATGAAGAAGAAAAAAAAGACTATAGTGGCGGTGCTCTACTTCGCCAGGAACCGGTACCCAGTATATTTGTATTCTATTCCAACAGTAATACAAAAATATAAGATTACTCTAAAAATGTGTGTTTGGGGAACAAAGTTTGACATATGGCGAGTAAATGTAGATTGAATCCAGATTTACCAATTGAAAATTTAAATTGAGATTTACCAATGATAAGAGTTATTAGTTGATTTTTAAGTCCTAGAACAAATGATTTAAGTCCTAGAACTATTTATTAGTGCATTAGAAAATTATATTAAATATGAACAATAAAAAGTTGACAATATTTCTTTTTCTTTGTCTGATAACAAACGAAAGCGATATGCTCTGTGAACAGATGGATTTTGGGATTATATAGTTTTTAAAATATAAAAGATACTAGAATAACGAGAACTTTAATATTTCGATTATATATTAAGGCACCCATTATTATTTAAAAGGGTACTTCGGCGCTTGTAGAATATTGTGGCTTAACATTTCAGGATAGTGGTTCAATAAAGATGGTTCCTTGGAGACGTGATGGACAAAACAATAAATGACTAATCAATCATGATAAGTCATTTAGAAGAAGACAAAGATTGTCTTGCACAATAAAAGATTTCATTATTAGATTAAATTTCATTTAAAAAAATACCATAAATTAACTATAATATACAATGCTTATTCTATGGACCTCTATATAGGTGGTTTCGCATAGAAAAAAGTATAAGAACAAAATAGAAAAAGTAAAGTGAGTTTATAGGTTACTATGGTAATGTGGTTCAATCTTTTTAGAAGTAACTGTGTACTCATAAAGGTAGATTTCTGGCTATGTAGTTAACAAGTGTACTTAGCTCTGTAATTTACTTTGGTATAACTCTAACTTTATTATACTTCATGGTTATTATGAACTTTTCATTCCTAATATACCATGGTGCTTTTGCGATTATCTGTAACATTTTTGGCTGTGTTCTTTGCAGGATTTCAAACTCATAATTGCATTGTTTTCTTATTAACTCATATTCCTAATTTTTTTTTCATTTCATCTAAAATATATACTTTATGTACACACATACATACCTTTTGTATATATCTGTTCCACATTATATAAAATATATTTAACAGTATTATGAAGGCTTAAGTGATTATAACAAAATAAATTTTTTAGGTTTAACCGCAATATTAACATAGATATATGACAGTAGGAAAATATACACGGCAAAATATACCTTAATTTTATTAAGTATCTTTAATATATCATTGTAAGAAGTCGTAACTGAAAAAACAAAAAAAAAAACACCGTCTGTTTATCCAAAAGGCTGGAGGTTAGTTACTTAAAGGGTCTATTGAAAATAGGTATCTTATCCAATATAAAAGCACTTATTTTAAAAGTAAGGCTTTATTGTAACTAACTTTTGCCTGAGAAATTATCATACAAAACTTACTCCCGAACAGAGTTGCACATAACTGATATATAAATGTGTATATCTCAAAAAGGGCGCTTCGTTAAAAAGTTTATAGAGTGCTCCATTAAAAGATCATGGAGTTCTCCTTTACCTCAAAAGCATTGTATAAAAGAAAAATCGTCATTTTTAATGTAAAAGAGATCAAATTTCCGATTTAACAACAACCAATACGCCCTGAGAAATGCATTACTTAGGTCTTGTTCATGTTCTGTTGGATGAACAGTACATGCTGCTTTTATTTCGATATGAAGAATATTTTCGTCAGTGGTCCGAAATAAAACCATGCATATATTTCCATTAATGAGGAAACATACTTTGGACGGATTTGATATTCCCACTTATATTTATAATAGAACATTGAGTATGTTGTTTATAAAATATAATACTATTAAGTGATGCAAAATCGAACTTCTAGGCAGTAGTTCTGAAATGTTTGACATTTTGTTCATTGGTTAATATTTAAAAGGCTGCTTTGGGACAGACAATATTTTTTGTTTGTATTTCTTTAATTCTCATTATTCAAATGACTTACTTTCTTGTTTCATATAAATGGCTATATATCAAATAAGTCAAAATTTTACTTTCCGCTAATATTAGTAGTGCATTGCTTAGTTAAATGAGTTGTGTGTATACGAACAGACCTCAATCGCATACAAGACAACATCATTGTTATTGCAAATTTTATTGTTAGTTTTTTTTTCACTTTTTTGCTGCAAAGACCTAATTTTCTAGTGTCAGCGTAATAATATGTATTTTACTTTAATAATATAAACACAGTACTAGTAAAATAAAAAAAACAAAAACAGAAAAATTGGCGAATAAATATGTTGTTATGCTAAACATTTTTTTAAAAAAACACTATGTAAAAATTTAAAAAAATTAAAGTAATGACAAACCAATGCTATTGAAACGAAAAAAATAATATATTTTAGGAAACATTAACCATTTATAGCTTATTGGAAACCTAACGTGCGCCGTTACGCCCAGGACTGTAGAGCACGTTACACTCATCCTCTTGAGCCAACCATTGTACACAAAGCGGCCTTAATATCTTGAAGACTAGGCTAGGAGAATTAACGAAAGTAGACCTATCAGATCTTATCGTCATTTGAAAAACTCAATGGTTAAGCCAAAATAACACATAGAGTTATGGTAATATCTCTCTGTCAACTTAAAATTTGCTACAATGGTTAGTAGATGCCTTCCAAGTGAAAGTACTGATGTTTGAATCAACATGCGCTTTTTAATCGTAAGCCAGTGTTACATTGGTTACATATTATAAAAATAAATTTTATTATATCTCTACCAGATATATACACATACTTTTAATTTATAACAAAAAATTAATTAATTTTGAAAACTACTATTATTAACAATTTATATTAACTGTAATAATGTTAACTGTAAAAAATACTCGTAGTTTTTATTCAACCAGTTATTTGAGAATTAGACAAATTGAATTATAGTTTTAGATCCAAAGTTAAGTTTAGATCGATATAACTGTTATTTTTCGGATTCAGAAAATTTGTGCGAGTGAAATGTACTCAACTTAACTATTCTCAATTGTAAAATTACCACCAATGGAAATGAATATCTTCATTTGTTTGTTAATTTTATAATTTTAAGGTAATGTAATAGATCTTGTAGTTTCCTATTTGCTATTTGAAACCCTGCTCAATGAGTCAAGTTCATTTAACACTGTCTGTTTGTCGTTTCCAGTTTAAACTGGCCCCCAGTTTTTGAGCTATTCCAAAGAAACTTTGAACACATAATTATTGGACTGACTTGATTTTAAGCTTGAATTCAATTTACTATATTTTTTATTTCTTATTTTATTTTTAATAAAGATATAGAAATAAAGTTTGGCTCCGAGTATTCCTATATTTATACAAAAGAATGAACATAGCTTTATTCATGTCGGTTCAGATTTAGATAAGGTTTCGATTTCAGCACTTAAGTATAACTTATAGAATACAACCTGCGTAATAAATAAGGTTGAACAGTTTAGATTTGGATATAGCTCGCATATATAAACATATATAAATATATTGAATATGCTTTTATTATTTTCAGTAAAAATGATGTCGATCCGTTCAGATTTGAACAGAGTTGTCTTAGAAACTGCTTCCACATATTAAATTTCATCGATGCAAACGTTTTGTTATTGGTTATGTGTTTATTTAAATACTACTTAGTTTTATTATAAATTATATATGTAATTATATAGTATGTTATGAATATATTATCATGGAAATGAAACCTCATTGTGGGTTCAAAATTCTATGCAAAGTTCATCTAAGCTTCGGCAAAGCTAAGGGTAACATCTTCATTTGTTTCATTCTGACACTTTAAAGTTTTGACATACATATACAATATAGGGTTAGATATTTTTTTTGCCACTTTGTTTTAAAAGATTACTATAGATAAGATATATACCATTAAAATTTAATAAAAAGTTGTATAATAATACTTAAGTCTATTATTTATTACTAATTATTGTTATACGTATTGAGTACAATACTTTCACACAGCTCTTCTTGATCCGAATAAGATCTTTTGGACTTGAACCAACAGATTGTTATATTTACGTTTAAGAGATAGTATTATGTATTAGATTCACATAAGCCGCGCGGTAACATTGTTAAAAAAAAACAAAAAACTATAATAGTTTGAGTGGTAGCACTAGAGAAGTACATAGAAGTTACCATGTTGATGGCGTATAGACAACATTTCTTCTGTCACAAGGTAACTCTCTCTGATTAGTTAACTTACTAGTAGTTTTCTACTCGGATAATGTAACTGTTTAAAAAAAAGGATGGTATTTATTTCTGAATGCTCAATATTTAATATGAGTGGGTGGTAAGTTCTTAGTACAGCAGTTATAAAGGGCCTTGGGTCTATTTCTAGGCTTGTCATTATAACAATAAATGTGAGACGCCTATGTACCATATTTCAGAACTTTAAAACTTTATGTTTCTCATCTCTAAAAACATATTTGTATATAGTTATTACCTATTTCGATTAATGGAGGACTTTAAATAAACAATTTTTTTAAGTTAAGATAAAGGAATACCAATTTAATATTGTTATATATTAAAATATATTGATAAGCATCAGCACAAAAGATCAATCTGATCGCAGTGCTCTGCTCCGCTGGAAGCTAGTACCCCGTTTTATTTCTATTTCTATTGAGAAGCATAAGTCAAAATTATTTTTTGCAACTTACAGTATAATGAATTAGCTGAAGTTTTATTAGTCAGTACTCAAACGGTGTTTTAGATAATTTCAAAATTAAAGGAATATCCTTGATTTGTTATTAAAGTAAGTCAATAATATTATATTATATTTTATATTTTAAAATATAATTTGAAAGAACTTGAAATGCTGTATCAATCTTCTTAAATTTCCTTACAACGAAACTTCTTCGTTACTTCAAAATAGCGACACATGTCCTTACGGCACTTGATTCAATTAATCTTACTTATAATCCAATTTTCCAATTTTCCAATTTTACTTACCCCAACTTTCCACTGTTCGCCCGCAATATGTTTTCTCCTCTGGATCATATATCATTTGCTTAAATGAGCGTTTTTTGGGTCGCTCCGGTGGTCGAGCATAATATTGTTGGAATGCATCGATAGATTCTTCGGCTACGGTAGGCATTTTGCTAGCTTTAGTTTAATAAAACTTAGTAATAATTATATTTATTTATTTTTTTTTTGCGTTAACACTACTATTTGGTTTATTAATGAATATATTTTTATTTTCTTCTTATTTTTACAATAAAAGAAAATTTTAAGGATATCAATTTTATGTATTGAAGATATACTATATTTCGTTTTTAAATAAGCACAGATTAATTAAAATGAATTATCACTGCCTTAGCAACTGAATACAAAGAACGTTATTTTAAATAATATCACTCATTTGCTTAAGTAACCGAATTAGCGCTTGAAGACGCGACCGCCGAGTTTCGTGTGTGTCTTATAAGTCTGCAATCCGACGAATGATTACCGCTTCTCCATTAAGTATAGCTATACGTCTCTGAATAGAAATTCGTAAATGATCACTTTTGCTTATTTATGCTTAGCCTAAGTAGACGTTGCCGTAAATGCCTTTGTAGGCATAATATACATAAATTAATCTTTTATCTTGGCATACAGTCATTATAATAGTTAAAGTTGTACTAAATAAACAAAATTCTGGAGTCGTTTCAACTGGCATAACGTCAGCCGTCAGCCGTCAGCTGCTGTTAGCTCTGTCATCGTGATCATCACTACAGTAGCTTTGCTTTTTTCAATCTTCGTAACGTACTTGTGTTATATGTTATGATGTTGGTGATCACCTCCATGACATGTATATGGATTACTAGTGCTATAAGTGCGAATACCCAGTGTTGTATATACTTATACGTATATACTATGTTATCACTGCGATGTCACTCTTAATAAAATATAATTTTTTCCATTTAGTAAGCGCTTCTCGGTTACAGCGCTCAATTTCCAGGGGCAAAGCTTTGCTACACACGAGTATCATAGCGTTTTTGTTTAATAGAAACAAATTCGGAAATTAAAACTACAAACTACAAAATACAAATAATAATATTAATAAAATAATAATAATAACAATAATAATCATGGTACTTTTTGTATGTAAAAGTTAAGTACAGCTTGTATTACGGGCAGCCGGGGGAACTCAGTTCCATTATTATCCATACGATTTCTGTGCGGTGGCTGCGTAGGCGCATAATAATTATCATCTTTAGAACGATGAGAAGAAAACATGTAAATGTAAACAGTAAAAAATCTTAAGATTCACACACCGAAGGTCGACGTAGTTAGCTGGACCATTAAATATGTGACATAATTTTCTTTAATTGATTACCCAAAGTATGGCCTGTGTAGATGTGTAGGGTTGTAGGGTAAATTCCTTAAATCCATTAAGTCGACTAATAAGTTGACTAATAAATCTGGTGAACGAAATACTGAAGACTAAGACTAATTAAAGACATTAAAAGGATAGGACATATTTATATGTACTAATGTAATAAATAATTTAGCGTTGTATAAAAAGTATCTACAAATTTATATACTGCATGACTAATTACTTAGTAAACTACAGCAAGCTTGTGCGCGGGCATATCATTTGCAATACCAGTAGATATGTGTTCCTCAGTCAGTTCGACTTTAATTGATATGAAATATAGTTTCCTCTGGCAATGAAATCGACTAGACTCACAATGGAATTGTTTAGGAAAAAGCGGCACAGATATTTGACATTTAATAAAGTTAAATCTTTTTTACAAAATAATCAAAAAAAAAAAAATTATATTTCATTTAAACTAATAAATTTCTCAGCTACTTGAACTGTTGACTTCTCTTCGCACAAAGTAAGAAGTAGTGACATATAAGCTGAAAAGATTTAATATCTTTGCACACATTTAGCTTTTGCTTTAAATATCAATACAATTTGTATCTTTATAGTAAAAGATTTTCAGCTTGAAATTCTTATTAAACAGATTGAGTTTAATATAAAATCTGCAGAATAACTTCAAAAAAATTGAAAGTTGGATAGAAATATTAAGTGGTTTTCGTTTTTTTTATTTTTTTTTAAATTTGAAATATATTCTATTATAAATAATTTTAACTACTTCCTTTTGGTTATATTTGAACCTTTACTTATAAGTAAGAAATCATATGAATTATTCTACGTAACTTATTTTTACTACAAATTATTAATATCATTTTTAGTTTTATCAGTTTTATCAAAAGAAACTAAATTCTTAATTCTTTTCAAAAGAGAGCTTTTTATCGAACAGTAGAGAAATGACAACAACATCATTTTTTTATTACTTTTGTTGTTGCAATTTCACTACAAGTTGTATAATTTATAAATAAAATGCGCTTACAAGCCGATTAAGTGATATACATTTTATATAAAAACTACCTGTAGTTAATAGGTAGGATAAGTGAAGTCTTTCGTATCAACGAGTACGTTCTAACACTTGCCCGACGGTACCTTACCCGGTAGTACAACTTTTTCCCCGACGTCTTTATGCCCAACGCCCTCCGTACAAATTTCCACCAATCCCTTCGCTACAAACTTCTCCAGTAACTTACGCTATACTTCATCATCCCACTCTATAACTCCTGACCTCGGTTACAGAGTCTATCACTAGCCCAACCCCTCGCGATAGTGCAATAACCTCGCTCCCTTCACCAACTTTCCTTCTACTTGCGCAACGTCCATACTTTCTGGCTTAGTTAAACTTTATCCACTAGGTATTAAGCCCCTTGCTCATATCTCTCTCTCCTAATTACTGAAATGAAGTATCCATATTGCTGTGAAAATCTTTTCCATTTATTTGGTGGTTTTAGTGGGTTGAAGTCTCACACCGTAGGTTTTGAAGTTTTCCACCTACTGTAAAGAAAAAAGGGTGGGATATGTAGGTGAACGTGGCCGCCGACTCCTTCAGTTGACTGTTTACATACTTATGTCAAATTTGATTATTGTACTATCAGACATCTCCTAGTAGGACTAGTAAATCATTCAACCCCCATTGAATCATTGTGTTGATTTCAATAATCTGATCAGATTTGGTAAATAAACGTTGACAATACATGAGTTTAGCACAGTACTACCAATGTACAGATATAATTCGCGCAATATATTTTATGAATGTTCTTCAAAATATAAATAATAATAATTATTACACATTATACATCAATTCTATAATAAACAAATTCGTAGTGCAGCAATATCTATAAGGGAGTGATGGTGGTCGAATAAACTACCATGAATAGATAAATTATTTATTTTTAAATTTGAGCGAATTTGTTCAATATTTTGCTCTTAGCTGATATTTTGCACTCTGTAATGTCACTTTGTATAGGTACATAGAAAAAATACATAGAAACATAGATTAAGTACGGAATATTAAATTGTCAATCGATAACTGGAGCAGATCATCCGTTGATTTGGTCGAGTTTCTGATATTTGGTGAGAAAGTTAAAAATTGTCTTCAAGCGATTGTTGTCTATAAGACTTATTGAAGACGAAATTGCGATATCAAGAAGCACAACTTTTAAATTTTTGTCTGAGGACTTGTACAAACGAAGAGTCGGTGTGTTCTTCATGCCGCACACTCTGATGGATGACTAACAATACTGATGAGTTTAGTATTGCCAAAATGTGATTAAAATGTGTCGAAGAAATCAGTCAAGTATGTCAATCATTTTTACAAATGATTAAGCTTGGTGTTTCTAACAAATGCCGAAAACAAGACGTTAGAGTGCGGAATAGATGTCATCGGAAGTGCTGACAAAGAAGAATGTGAACCATCTGCAAAACAATAATTAAATTAACTTTCACTTAGAGGTCTGGGACAGCACCCAATGTCTGGTGACAGCAACCAATGGCTGGTGACAGTAACCAATGTTAGTGCTTGAAAATCTACTAGATTTCAGAATCTACTAGTACTAAAGAAAAAGAAGCACTTTGCAAAGAAATGTTCTCTCTGAATTGTCAACACCATTACAATTGGATATATATATTATTAAGTCCGAATTTATTGAAGAAAACTTTAAAAATGTTATAAAATTAAGATTTTAGAAGACTGAAATCAAAAAAATGCAAATTATATAGTTTTTGTATTCATACCAAATTTATCTTATAAGGTCAAACAGTGTACACAAATAATTATTTAACACTGGATCTAAGCTTAATGCGTTCGACCAGAATATTGAAAACCAGACAGTTGGTTCTTATTGTATGGTATTGCACTATTGAACAAAGTCACCATGGTAACTAAGTCCTTGTTTAAAATCTGGATCATTATTATTGATCATTCAGAAACGAAAATTGACGAAGAAGAAATTTTATTTCAATATCAGTCCAGTAAACCATATATGTTGACCTTCAGTGAGACACGAAAGACAATTCCATTCGATAAATAAAGAATATGTTACGCAAAATTTTTTGAACGTTGCTCGGGATGTTGTTGTTCCACCACTCTATGGGCAGATAGTTTAATTCACTTTGTATAAACTTCAACAAGGATATTGAACGACGATGGAAAACGCGGCGGACACATAGTGTTATTTCTGAACAATTTTGGAGCTAGAAATTTATGAGGCAAAGAAGCCTATTTAAATAAAATTATTTTATAAGTGTAAGTGTTTGTATTGAACAATACTCGTAATATAGAGACATTAACTGCTGAGCTGCATCTTTCCCTGGATATAACTTTTTTTCTTTATTTGTATGTGTACATATCAAATGATAATTAAAATGGAACCTAGTTTTAAATGCATATATAATTTTCTTATTGCAAAAAGTATTAATTAGATTAAATTTGCAATAAGACATAATTTTAGTGCTGCAAACCATTTACATTAAACTCAAAGTAAGGATAGAATTATATTGAATATATTTTTTATCACCAAACAAAGATATTACTTCTTCATTAAAAACATAATAAGTAAAAAATGTTGACATTTGTATTTTAGATATAGTAGAAATGAGTGAATATAGTGAAACGTTTTTTATTATTAAAAGACACAAGACTAGCACGATTTGTTCTCTGGTGTCATGCTCCCAAAACCTCCAAAACCTTTAGTCTCTATCTCTAGCCTAAAAAGCTTCCTCCTAGATGATACTTAATACGAAGCTTAACTTTTGCAGAAGCTTAACTTCTGCTGATCAACAGGTCACACAAATCTGTTTTGAATAGAACATCCATTTTCTTCTTATAGTGGATTATATGAACAATTTAAGTAAAAATGTTTCCTTTGATTGTATATGTCGATTGCATACGTATACAGAAATACTTTCTAAAGGATAATGAATATAAAATAATAGAGCCTCTAGGAGAATATTTAATATCTCCACCTATTTAATGAATATTTAAATTTTAGAAGAAACTGTATCAACGGTCTCTTCTTCTTGTAGGACTTCAATGACAAATGCGATTTAATGTGATTCCTGTTATGTTCGAGCAGTAGTTTTCAATATAAAATCAAACTTTTACTATTTTACAGAACTTTTTAAAAAATGTTTTAATCTTCTTCTAGTACTCGATGTAGTTAGCAAGGTTAGATATTAACAAGAATTGTGACATCAGATTACCCCTTTTTTGA